GAAATGGCAGCCCTATACCGGTTTACTCCATGACAGATCAAAAACGGCTTCAAAACGGGTTAAAAAGGGTAATGTGAAATTCCTCTGTGTCTCCGAAGGCAAGCTGCAGCAGTCACTTTATGGTAGCCATTCTGTAGCTGTCCCCACCACACCACGTGAGAATTCCAAGGGTGGCTGCAGGAGAGCCAGTGTGGTGTAGCGGTTAGGAGCGCAGACTTTAATCTGGGAGAACCAGGTCTAATTCCCCACTCCTCCACATGCAGCCAGCTGGGTGACCTTGGGTCAGCTCTCAAGAGTAGTTCTCTTAGAGCACTCTCAGCCCCACCTACCTCACAGGGTGTCTGTTGTGGAGAGGGGAAGGGGAAAAAGACTCCCAAGTGAAGGGTGGGGTATAAATCCAGTCCCTTCTTCAAAAGGGTTGGAGACCCCTGGTCTAGAGTTCCTTGCACACTGTTTTGTGTGGTCTTAATAAAAGATATTATGGGGCTTTTGTTCTTGGGTCTTGGCTTCAGACCAGTATGGCTACCTGCAGCCTTTACTTACCTTAACCACTAACCAATGGAGCCAACCTGCATAGAGCATCTCTCAAACAAGCAGTGTTTATCCAACCATCTGTGGACTTTGGAGAGCAGGAAACTCCTGCTTCTCCCTCTTGCTGCAGCCCACCAAAACCCTTGAAATTTATTCTTTGGGAAGGGGGTTTCGGGGGACTTGCAAGGACCACTGAGGGGGCAAAATGGGAGGGGGGGCTGCAGTGGGTCGGGATGATTTGGCAGGAGTCACCGTCTCCTCTTCTGTAAATAGAAATGCTTCTCCCTCAGAGGGCCTTCGTGGTTGCCTCTGTGCCAGTGATTTGCTGGACTGAGTTCTGTTCTTGAGGTGCTTTTCCCCTAACAGCAGTTTCAGAGTTTGTTCTGCAAACGCACAAGTGGAACTGGAAACCTGATGTGCAAAAAGCAGTCAAGTGGCTTTTGAAAACATCAACACTCTAGCGGGGCTTTTTTGTATTGCAGGGGCAGATTGGTCATTTCACTTACAGGGACATTTCCTTGTGGGCCACCCGGGTCAAGCAGAGTCAAGGGCCAGCAACTCTCTCAGTGCCCCAGGACCACTTGGCTTAGCTCCTTTAGTGACAACATCGATCAGGGTCAGCTCACCAGTTGCACCCTCACATACTGCCATGGTTTGCGGGAGGAAGCAGGGAGTGACCCAGTGCCTGTTGTTGGTACCAGTGAGCCGACTGGTTCTGCAGCACAAGCTTCTGGCATCCGTGGAGCCACTTCGCTTGGCTTCCTCCAGGGCTACTCTCCCTTCCCAGGCCAACCCTGGCTATGTGCTTTGGAGCAGATGTAGATGTTCAGATAGGCTACCGATCAGCCAGTCCGACCCAGAATTTGCACTGTAACACGCTTTTTTTTGAGGGAATTTGGTTTTATGTAATAAGCTAATCTTAAGGCCTGAAAGCTACTTTCTTCCAGACGTCTTATGGGGTGGAAGGAAAATAATTTTTGGAGTATGGGGCATCCCCTTCTAACTAATCCTCTCTTTGGTACCATATTGACACAGTTGACTTCAGAGACAATCACTACGAGGGAGGAGGCACATGCAGGGTTTCGTATACTGGAAGTTTGTTATGGAAATTGTAATAATGTCTGAAACAGTATTATATAGATCTTTCCAGTCACACTGAATAAACCTTTTTAAACATGGTGTTTGGCCTTCTTAAGTTAGAAGTTCATCTGTGGTCAGCTGTTGGTTATAACTTTGCAGGGACAGTACTTCTGGTTGTAGTGGTAGCATGCAAGCCATCCATACGGGAGAGCCCTGCATTTGACCATTACAGATGCTTTTTTGGAAGTTACGCATGCCTGTGTGGCATATATACCCCATCAGAGATAACTTTTACATGCTCCTCTATAGGTGCTTTGCCCACATTTTACACTCAATGTTTTCTGGGCTGAAGAACCTCTTGGGCTGGATCCAGACAAACTTTTCCATTAGCACAATGGAACTTTTCTGCCTCCCACTTAGTGCTCTCAAATGTTTCTCCTGGGAAATAGGATAGGGTACATTGAGGAATGACATGCAGGGGCTGCAGAAAGGAGATAGCAATCCCTAAATTAGTCTGGTTCCAATCCCTTGTCTCTGCTTTTCTAGCTGCGTACTGACTCAATACTTTCCTAAGCACAGGAACTGAAAAGCATCCTCTGTATTGAAGACAAACATAATTTGCTTGTTGCCTTTATTAACACAACAAATACATTGCTATGTTCAAAGTCTAGGGAAAGGGTTTTATGGGGGGCGGGCTGCATAAATACTGGTGTGAGCTCTACCTGCAGCCAGGCAAAGGCTCTTTGAGGTTCCAGAAAAACAACATCCAGAAAGCACAGGCCGCTATCTTCAAGAACCTAGACAAGGGAGGCCAAGGCAGAAACTGGATTCTGCAAGATGAACACAGCTCATGCCAGTCCAAGTTCATAGTTGTACCATGAGTTTCAGAAACACCTGGCTGCCTAGTAACCCTGATTTCTGCCTGCCGCTTCCGTTCAAGTGGATTTTAAAAAATGGAGATCAGCTAGTAGACTGGGGAATCCTTCACCACAGCTTTCTTACTGCTCAGGAAGAAAAAAAGTATTCAACAATTCCAGTTCAGTTGTTTCAAACAGTTAAGCATCAGCAAAAACATACAGCAGCGTTTAACACATCCATTACTATAGTTAGATTGATCCCAATTGGCAGCATTAGCTCAAAGCCAGTGATACCTTCTGAGGTAGATTAAGCTTACCCAGGGCTATCCTGGGAGCTTAATTGTAAATGTGGAAAACAAAGACTTTGTGGTGCCTTAAAGACTGACAGTTTTTTTGTAGCATAAGGTTTTGTGGTGAAAGAATTAAAAGCTGGAAACCTGCTCCCTCCCAATATCCCACCTAGATAGAAGTCATCTGTGATGCAAGCCATGTGCATCTTTGTATCTAAAATGTGTCCTCTAGCAATTTACTTCACTTGCCTACAACAAACAAGAATTTTTTAAAATTTGGTTCTGATGCTAACATTGGGATTCTTCTAGTTGACAAGTTCGGACGGTTCACTTGAAACTGGGAGTAATCAAGTTTTCTATCGTGTCTCTTTCATGCTAGCACCCAACCCCCCCGTCTTTCCTCCAAGAAGCTTAGGGTGGCCTATGAGGTTCTTTCTGCTTCCACCTCTTTCTTGCAAAAGGTCAGATAGGCAGGGTTCTAAACTAGGTCTCCCCAGTCCAACACTTTTAACTACTATACCATACTGGCCTTATTCTTGTGCAACACCCTATATAAAAGGACTCAAAAGGAGTCCTTGCTTAACAAGTCTAAGTAGAAATGGTTCTCCTGGAGACACAGAATTTGAAAGTATACTGCCTTAGACTAGAGGGTTTCAACTTTCTAGGGAACTCGTTCAATGTGGATTTGAGTGCTGCCTCCTACTACTACAGATGATGCTAGGATACGTTCAGTACTGAGAGATCTCTGAGAGCCCCCAAAACGCAGTTTGAAAACCACTCATCTAAGGAACCCAGTGTTGCACAGAGAGGGTTGAACAAGCTGCATCCAGAGGTATCTTTCAAGTGGCTCTAGTGCAAAGGGAAGCTGTCTAAGACTCAAGTAAACAAGGCTCTTAGCATCCAACCTGTTGCTCAGTAACAAGGCCCAATAGATTCAAATGTACCTTTTCCTGTTAACAAATTCCTTCATTAGATGCCCCTTCAGCGACCATGGGCTAAGCAAAGCAACTGGACCATTGTAGCTGAAGGTACCATGTTTGAGCCGACTGCCAATATGGAAAGTTCCATTTAACAACAAGGTTTTCAGCATGTGATAAGACTTGCATCACATACATGTAATGCAGGAATGTAAATAAAGATTATGCAAAAAAAATTTATTCCCAAAGCATTTAAAATATACCCAATAATCTGGAACTGATGACTTCATAGGAAATAAACTGGAAGGTAATTTTCCATGCACCCCAGCCCAATACCAATTGCCCTGAACTGTCTGAGGGCTTTTTTTTGTTTGTTCTTGTTTTTAAAATTATGTTTTTGGGTCTAGACGTCAACCCCATCCACTTTCTAAACAGCTCTTCAGGCTGCTTCAAAACCAGTAGTTAAAAGCCAATTTTCAGTTATGGTTTTCCATCAAAAGATCTACTAGCTTGCTTAGCTGGTCAATTCTAAGCTGCTATGACACTGTGCCCTCATGTACCAAGCATTCTAGGACAAGGCTGAGGATAGCTGCAGGAAGACAGTTGACAGATTTAGGATAGATTCAAGTGGGCTGTGTATCTGAAGAGGTGTGCATGCACATGAAAGCTCACACCCAGAATTAAATTTTGTTGGTCTGAAAGGTGCCACTGGACTCAAACTTTGTTCAACAGCTTTAGGTTAGCTTGTATAGCTGAGGGGAACATTCCAGGATGCGTTCCACAGAACCACAGATTTGCTCAATGGTGCAAAAATGAGTGTACAGTACAAGTCTTTTAGCTTGCCTCATCCGATCACATTATCTGTGTAGGTTAACCAAGATAATATTGCAAGGCTGTCTCTTGCTTGCCCTAATAAGATGGCTAAAACTTGTGATCAGGCTGGAAATGCTGACCAGGAAATAAACCTGCTTTCTCATGCTTCCAGCTTGGAGACACCCGTTTCTCAATGACAACCTCATCCCTCATATTCAAATCAGCAGCTGATATAGCTATCTGCCACTTCTCCACAGAAGGGGCTGTGCTTGCATAAACTCTATCCTAGGACTTTATAAATGACAAGGTATGCCTTTCCCTGAAAATCTTTTTTGGCTGCAGTCACACACACAGGCCCTTTCTGCACCCATATTTTGTCTCAGTTTCCAAGCACATCCTATTTTTCCCTTCTGCTCCCTCCTGCTTTCACTTCCAGTTTGCGTTGGGGCTCTTTCTTGTTTCTGCATTTGTTTTACAGGAATCTGCATTCAGACCGCTTCCAGCACACTGTTGCCCCGCAGTTACCAAAACTCCTTTTGCAGCGATTCTTTGTTCTCATCTGCTTTTGAATCGCTAATCCTTTCTAAAGTAGAATTGTTTCTGCACATATTTAAGTGCTGCCTACTGCCCTCCCGTGTTTCTGCCTCTCTCTCTTTAGATTGACACTCCCTCCCCATTATGTTTTCTTTCCCTCCTTCTCCAAAGACAAAAGAGGATGTGTCCTCCCACTCAGGCAAACTTTGAAAAAGCCAGAGAGAGCATAAGAAGGAATCAGTAAACATAATGGACTAAGGAATTCCCTGCTCCCAAATGTGCCAATCTTAGATGTGTGGGCCTGGAATTCCCCCTCCCTTCCCTTTCTTTTTGCAGAATCAGGGAGGGAGGGAGGGAGGGAGGGGTTGGATCTGCAGTTAAAAGTTTTAAATGTAGCAGGATGATTGCGTAAATTTTAAAAAACTTTGGACACCACCCACACAACATCACAAAACGTTTCCATATTAATTAGGCAAAAAATGCATTTTTTGCTCATAGATGCAGAATGCATGCAGA